ACCAGAGGAGGTTCCACCCCTGGGCTGCCACCTGCTCCCCCTCCCCGTGGGCCGGGTCCTGGGTCCCCCTCGGGAGCGCCCCCGGAGCGCCCGGTGCTGGTGGGGGAGGGAGCCCCCCAGCCCCCGCCGGAGTCCCGTCCCTAGAGCAGGAGTCGGGGGGCCTGCCCCAGGACCACCGGGGACGAGGCATCGGCATGGCAGCCCCCGGGGACACTGCGATGAGCAGCGAGCGGGGACGGGAGCACTTCCCCTCCAGGAGGACAGCCTGGAGGCGGTGGGGGCACGGGCAGGAAAGTAGGGGGGAAGTGCTCCCGTCCCGTCCCGGGGGTGCCGGGAGTCAGGAGGGGCCGTGACTGGAGGGACCGTCTGGGGAGAGAGGCCCCGTCAGAACGTCAGGAGGGCGGCCCGGGGAGGAAGAGAAACTGCTGACCGTCGAGGACCAGGCCCGGCAAAGGGACAGGTGGTGGTCAGGAGGCCCCTGAAGAGAGCAGAGAGGGTGGGGCCGGCTGAGGGGGGCGGGGTGGAGGCTGGGTCAGCAGGAGGGGGCCAGGGAGCGGCGGCTGCCCCCCACCCCCCGCCGCCGTGTGGCTGGGAGGGGGAGCAGGGTGGGGGCAGCTCAGGTGCCCTTGGGGGCTCGGGAGGGTCCTGAGTGACGTGGGGGAGGGCGGGGCAGCTCGTGACACATGGAGCCGTGTCCCCAGGCAGGGCCACCCAGAGACGGGGGACCGCCGAGGCGAGGCGACTGCGGCTTCTGGGCCCCTCGACCCCCCAGCCTGGCACAGGGGCGGGACCCCTCGCCGGCCCTGCCCGGGGCTGAGGGACGGGCCGCCACCCCCCTCTCCCGGAGGGACCGCGGGCCCAGGCCCTGCTGACCTCCAAGCACATGACGGGGGCCCGAACCCCGGTCAGCAGCTTCGGCAGCGACTTCCTCCCGTCGGGGCGCCTGCCGTCCGGGTGTCAGCGGTCACGTGAGGCCGGCCGTGGCCTGTGGCACCTGCTGCCCTGTCCCCCAGCCCCTGCACAGCTCTGTGCCCCGCACCCGGGGCGAGGTGGCCCCTCTTCTCGGTCCCGCTGCCCTCCCCACACTACGGGCCGGGGCCTCACAGTGGGACAGAGGCTCCTGGCGGCCCTTCCAAAGTGGCCACAGCCCTCGGTCCTTCTGCTCGGGCCTGCCCCTCTTTGTGACCCCCGCCCCCCAGGCTGATGTGCCCCCGCCTGGCCCTGTGGTCCTCCCCCCACCGAGACCACGACAGGGGTCACACCGTCGGGAGCCGTGGGCAGGACACCGGCGGGGACCTGCACGGTGGGTGCGCAGCAGGTGGGACACGGGCTGGAGACTCGAGCAGAGAGGGGCGGCCCGTCTGGGCACCCACGGGGGTCGGGCGGGCGTGAGGTCCGGGCGGCAGAGCTGGGGGCCCCAGCTCTCCTGTCCGGCCTCTGCAGGAGCCGCTGCCCTGTCCCCTCTGCGGCCTGGCCGAGTCCCCGACGGGCAGCGGGCTCTAGTGCCCCCTGGGAGACCCCCACCAGGGCAGACACCCTTCCGGTCAGGACGTCCCTGGTCCCTGGATGTCGTCAGCGGCAGAGGCACCGGCCTCGTGCTGCTGGGCCCCGACCCCCCAGGAGGGACAGGAAGTGGGGGTCCCGAAGCCCCGGGGGTGGCTCTCAGACCTGCCTGCTGGCGGGGGGCGCTCAGGACCCTTTGCTACAGCAAGTGCGGGGCCCCTGCCTGGGCTGCGGGGGCCCCTGGCCCCTCAACCTGCCCACCCTGCTCGGTCCCCTGCTGACACCCGCCCCTCCGTCCTCCAGCTGGTGGGATAGTGGCCCCCAGAGACACCCACGTCTGCGAGGGTCGGTTCCCGGGTGACCGGACTGGCCGAGGGGCCCAGGCCCGTGAGGTTCCGGACGGGGTGGGCGGTGCAGTCGGGGGTGGGGGCTGACTGAAGCCGCCGTGCGGGGGGCCTCGTCCGAACGGCCGGAGGCCACGGTGGACTTGCAGGCCGACCCCCTGAACTCGAGGGAGGGCCTCAGCCCGGCCCCCAAACTGGGGAGTGGTCCTCCACAGCGTCCCCGAGAGCTGCCCCTCCCGCCCTCCTGGGCCCCACCCTGCCGAGTGCGCACCCCCCCATCCCAGCCTGTGGTCAGGTGGCCCGTTCCCACCCAGGCTGACAGGCGGGTGGCGGACGGACGGATGCAGGTGAGGGACGTGTGTGCGGGTGACAGACGAGCAGCAAGCCCTGGTGTGTGGCAGGCAGGCAGGCAGGCCGGTGACAGGCACAGGACAGGCGGGCATTTCGCGTGCTCTTTCCGGGGCGCCCTGATCCGTCCGACGTCCTGACCTCCGGACCCTGCACTGGGGGACCCCACACGGCTGAGGGTCTCGGCAGGTGTGACCGGGCGAGGGATCGGGAGACGGTGATGGGGCCCTCGGGGGCCGGGGGGGGCCCCCAAGGAGGGCAGCAGGAGGGCGGCGTCACAGAGGATCAGAGAGGCGCTGCCTCTGGAGCTGGGGGGTCGGGGCTCAAGCAGGGGTCGGGGGTCGGGGGGGCATTTCCTGGGGAAACGGGGGGAGCTGGGAGGGGGTCTTGGCCTCCAGGAGCAGCCTGGGCTTCTGTCCAGCCGTCGGGGCGACCAGCCTTGTGGCGTCTCTGGGCCGCACCGGAGGAAGAAGTGTCGCCTTGGGCCACACGTCGAACACATTGTGACACGTCAGCACGATAAAATCTCATCGTGTTTCAGGTGAATTTGCGGTTCCGTGTTGGGCTGCGTTCACAGCCACCCCGGGCCGCAGGCTGGACGCCCCCGGTCCAGCGGGACCCAGCGCCCGGGCTGCGGGCTGCGGGGTGTGGGATCGGCCCGGTCAGTGCCAGCGTTTATCGCCTTTCGCCGCGGCCGCAGGAGGGAACTGAAAGTGTCCGGGTGACGGTGACTCACTGTCCGGCCAGGCCCGGGGCCTCTCTGGCTCCAGCAGTGAAAGTCCTGCCCCGGGAACCTCTCCTCCCGGGGCCAGCGGGACGCTGCCACCCTGCCTGCCCTCCCTGGTGGTGCCGGTCCCCGACCTGCTGTCCTCTCTGGCCTGAGGGAGGACGGGGCGTCCCCCCGCCCCAGCCCCCCAGGTCCCACCCCCAGGCGCCCAGCTCACGGGTTCTCTGTCTGCACACCTGCACGTCTCTGGTAACGGTCGCGACCCTGTCCCGGCTGCCTCAGACACCTGCAGCCCCCGCCCCCAACCACGGGGGACACGGACTTGGTGACCTCTTATCTCCCCAGACATCGCCGCCTCCCCGCCCCCTCTCTCTCCCCGGCCCTCTCTGGGGTCTGCAGCCCTCTCTCTCCCGGGCCCCCGGGGCCCCCAGGCTCCCTTCGGGGTCTTCTGAAGGCGCCTGTGACTGCCCACCCCCTGTCCCTGCCCGTTCCAGAATTTTCCGCAGATGGAAGCAGGCGGCCTGTCGTGCCCCTGTTCGCCCGACCCGTCCTCGCTCAGCAGGACGACTCTGAGGTTCGGCCGCGTTCCTGTGGACATCAGGGCCCCTGCTCTCCGCTGCCACTGTGACAGAGCCCCCTGCACACTGTGGAGCCTGAAGCCACAGACGTCGGGATCCAGTGCCCCGCGCCCAGGGCCTCTGAGGGAAGGCCCGGGCCGCGTCCTTTCTGGACCCCAGAGGCTGGGATCCTGAGGCCGGGTGGGGGGGGCCCTGCCACCTTCAGCCCCCATGGTGGGCGAGCCCCCCCCCGCCCGTCACCCCATGCCACCTTCCTGGCAGTCGCAGGGCCCAAGCCCACCTCAAACACCGCGTGATGCGTCTCGCGCTTGGGTAATCCGGGATAATCTCCTTATTTTGAGGTCTGCTGCCTAGCAACGGCATTTGGTCAGCTGCCTGCGGTCCCCTGCCCTGCTGAGCAGAGTCACAGTTTTGGGGGGGACCAGGACGTGGACGCCTGGGCGGGGCCGGGAGTCTGCCTCCAGCCTCACTGTCTCCTCCTTCCTGCTGCTCAGTGGCGGCCGCCCACCCCCAAGCTCGAGCCGCCCTCCGTCTGTCCTCGGGTGTGGGTGGGTTTCAGCCTTGGCCATTCCAGCTGCCGGAATGCCCCCCCCCCCGACCCCTGGCCGTACGGGGGTTTGCAGGGACGCCGGGGCGCATGGTAGGGACCCGGTGTCCGAAAGGGGTCTGCGCAGTGAGAACCCGCTCTGACCCCCAGCAGCGAGAAGGAGGCCCCGCCACCGCCACCCGGCGCTGCTCCGAGGCCGGGGCCGGGTCTTCATCCGGCCTCCCCGGCGGTGCTGCTGCGTGATCTCTGAGGCTCTGACTTGCACTCCCCTAATGGTTTTTTTAGAGGTTTATTCTGAGTCGAGAGAGAGGGAAAGGGAGAGAGGGATGAGAGGGAGACAGAGAGAGAGGGAGGGAGAGGGGGGAGAGGGAGGGAGAGGGGGAGAGGGAGGGAGAGAGAGCGGGAGACAGAGACAGAGGGAGGGAGAGGGGGAGAGAGAGGGGGGGGAGAGAGAGAGGGGGGGGAGAGAGGGAGGGAGAGGGGAGAGAGAGAGGGACACCCATGTGAGAAACACCAGTCCGTGTCCCCCAACCGGGGATCCAGCCTGCAACCTGGGCGTGTGCCCTGACTGGGAATCGAACCAGCACCCTTTTGGTTACAAGATGGTGCTCCAGCCAACTGAGCCACACCGACCAGAGCCCTAATGACTTTAATATTTTTTTTACTTACTGATTTTTACAGGAAGAGAGAGAGAAACATCAATTTGTTGTTCCACTCATTCATGCACTCATTGGTTGATTCTCGCACGTGCCCTGATGAGGATCGAACCCACGACCTTGGTGCGTGGGGACGACGCTCTAACCGGCTGAGCTGCCCGGCAGAAGCCCCTCCCCCACTGCCCGGCAGAAGCCCCTCCCCCACTGCCCGGCAGAAGCCCCTCCCCCACTGCCCGCGGCGGCAGGCAGCGTGGTCGGGAGTCCGTGGTTCCCGAGTCGGGGCCGCGCTGGGTGCTGCTCCCGCTCCCGTCTCGGGGGCGGTCCTCACGCTCACGGCCCGCGGTCCGGGCTCTGGGGGGCTGCGCGGTGGGTCTCGGGGTCCGGCCGGGCGAGCTGCCCCACGCGACCCTCTTCCCCGGAGCTGTTTCGCTGGTCTCGGGTCCTTCGCAGGCTCACACGAAGTTTGGAATCGGCCTGTGGACGTCTGTGAAAAGGTTGCTCCTGGCGTGGGCGCTCGGGTCGGGCCGGACCTGCAGGCGGGCTTGTTCCCGGCGAGTCCGGACCCTCGTCTCCTGCTCAGAGCAGAGAGCGGGGGAAGGCGCCCTCAGGCTCCTCACCCCAACTGTGGGGCAGGGGGGGGTTCCACCCCTCGGGAACGGGGCATTGCTGGGGTTCCCCGGTCAGCGTGTGGGTTTGACAGGGAACTGAACAGTTGGAAACTTTTAGTTTAGGTCAATAGCTGATAAGCTCAGGAATCAATACAGGTCAAAGCGTTGTTCCAGGCACGGAAAGTGGGGCCCGCCCTGACCCCAGGAGACCGAAAGCAGGCCCGCCTGTGCTCCTCAGGGGGATGGCCCGCCACCCAGGACGGCGTCTGAGCCGCTGTGCCCCGGGGGGAGGTGACCACTGCCCGGGACACAGCTGAAGACCACCGCCCGGGGCGCGGCATGAGACCACCCCGCCCAGGACCAGAATACCGACGTCATTCTTTCTTAAAAAATCCAGTGACCTTTCCCCTGAATCCCAAGCCCCTCACCCACCCTTGGTTTGTTCCCCACCGTGAGAACCGTGGCCTGGGAAGGAAAGACGAGATGGAATGTGAGGGCGCAAGCCCGCCATCTTCTCGGACGCCGTCCGTCCGCGTGATGCGCCCGTAAAGGTTCAGGTGCTGTCCCCGCTCCTTGGGTTTGGCGGAGATGGGCAGCCCGGACCCCGCCGCTGTCTTCTCGGGTTTCAGGTTCGGCTGGCTCCAGCCGTTTTAGGAACGCTGGGGCCCCACTGACTTTGGGGCGTGTGTACGTGCCGGTCAACTGAGGCATTCTGGGATGGTGCGGGACTTATTATGGGATGCAGGGAGGGACTTCCCCCACCAGGGACGGAGTTTGTCTCTGGAGTGTGTGGCCCCGCTGCAGATCCGACAGACAAACTTAGAAGACGTCCCGTGGTTGTTCCGTGGCTGCCGTCGGTGGCTGCCCTCACTCTGGTGGGGCCTGGGCGGTGTGGCAACCTTGAGGGGCGTTCCATTCGGCCTGTTTCCAGTTGGGACGAATCCGAGATTCACCAGCGGTGACTTTTTCTGGCTACAAAAGTCGTCTCCTCCCTCCCTCCAGTTTTCACTTTCTCTTGGTGGTGCTTCCTAGTGTTCAGGGTCCACGCCTTGGCTGTCTTCCATCAGATTTATCTCTAGGTGTTTCCTGCTTTCATTCCCTGTGAATGGTGGTTCTGAACTTGCTCTGGTGCGACCTTTGCTCCTTCTCTCCTGAGTCGGCCTGGCCTGGCCCAGCACCCTTGCCCCTCCCCCCACATCCCCCCCCCACCCCCACTCCCGCCCCAGCCCTCTCCTCTGGTGGCTGAGCCCTCGGGCCCTCGGGACCGGGGGTTCCAGCCAGCAGCGCGTAATCGCAGGAACAGAGCCTGCGGTCCGCTGGCCGCAGAGTTTCGGTTGGAGCCGAGATAACATCTAGACCTCAGCGTGGCTCAGCTCCAAGACCCAGAGGAGCGAAAGGACCCCGGGAAGGACCCCCAGGAAGTGACACCGGGACCGGGCCTGGGCCCCCGGCCTCGCCCCGACCGACCAGTGGAGACCACGACCCCGACCCTCTCGTGATGAATGACTTTCTCCCCAGATCACCCTTCCCCTGCGAGCCACGTCGGGGGGAGGGAGGCAGGTCTTGGAGCCCGAGCTTGCCTGGGACCCCCGTTCGGCACCACTCCTCACAAAGAGCCCCCGTGTCCTCGGCTGCTGCAAACCCCTTTCCCGACCGGATGGGCTCGGTGACGTGCTGCACGCACACCCCTGTCCCCAGGGGTTGGAATGCCTGCGGGGACACCGCTGGCTGCACTCACACGGCGTTTCCTCGAAGTCACTCGTTGGGTGGGCTTCTCCCCGGGCGGCCGCGTCTCGCCCCTCCCAGACCCGAGCGCACCTTCCCGCCTCTCCCTGACCGCTGAGCCCACCGGCCACGTGGGACAGAGCGGGGGTGGGGTGGGGGGGGTGGGGTGCGCGCCGGGTTCCCGGCCGTAGGGGGAAGCCTCGGTCCTCTCCATTGGGGGAGTGGGTGGTCAGCTGGTCGTGGTCCATTGGTGCCGCCCATCAGGTTGTGGAAATCCCGTCGTTCTGTTTTCCAAGAGGATTATTTTTTTAAAGATTTTATTTATTTGTTTTTAGAAAGGGAAGGGAGAGAGAAAGAGAGAGAGAGAGAGAAACATCAATGTGTGGTTGCTGGGGGCCGTGGCCTGCCACCCAGGCATGTGCCCCAACTGGGAATCGAACCTGTGACGCTTTGGTTCCCAGCCCGCGCTCAATCCACGGAGCCACGCCAGCCAGGGGTGGATTACTTTTTTTAAAAATCAGGAATAAGCGTTGGATTGTGGGAGCTGCTTTTCCTGCGCTTCTGAAGACGGGACAGCCCCGTGGGGCCGGGGTGCGGCGTCCCTGCGATCTGTCCCGGGTCCGGGTTGCCAACCTCGGGTCTCGTCTGCGGTTTCCCTCGTCCTCGCGTCTCTGCCTGGCTGCCGGCCGGGCCGCGCGAGGGGCGGGGCTGCCTCCCGCCGTCCAGCCCCCGGTGGGCGGGGCTTCTGCGGGCTCTTCCTTCCTCCGGCGTCCGCTGGGGAGGGCCCAGCCGGGAAGACCTCGGCCCCGGCCTCTTCTCTGAGGGAGGTTTTGTTCAGAAGAACCAGGGCCTCAGGCCCTGGCCGCTGTGGCCCCCTGGGCTGGATCCTCGTCCTGGAGCTGAAAGGTTGCCGGTTCGATCCCCGGCGCTGGCGACCCCCCCAGGCCCGATGCTCTGGGCGTGCGCGGGAGGCAGCCAGTCCAGGCCCACCTCGTGTCCACGGTTCTCTCCCTGCCTCTCTCTCTGCAACGCAGTGAAAACAGTGCCCACACCGGGTGGTCCGCCCGAAGGGGCGGCGTCCTCCCCGAAACAGTCCCCTCCGGCCGGCCGACGCCCCTCCATAGTCGGTAAAGACGGCCGATCAGATCTTCTAACTTACTCAGGTGACACGTGTCTCTTCAACAGCGTTAGGTCGCAGTGGTGGCCTCCTTGGTGGCTGTGGGGATGTTCGGCTTCTGTGTCTCCGGGGGGCGCTGGCCGGCGGTTCATTCCATCTTTGTTTTTGTTTTTTTTAACAGGTGCCCTCACTGGGAATCGAACCTGTGATATTTTGGTTCGCAGCTTGTGCTCAATCCACTGAGCTATGCCAGCCAGGGCTCATCTTTGTTGTTTTTTTTTTTAATGCTTTTTTTTTGGGGGGGGGAGAGAGAGGGGCGTCGATTTGTCGTTTCACGACACAGGCACGCATCCTTGGTCGAGTCCCGTGCGGCCCTGACCGGCAACCGGAGCTGCCACCCCAGCGTGTCAGGACCACGCCGCCGCCGACCGCCCCGCCTGGCCGGGCCGGGGCCGTGCCCCCGTCTCGGGACCGGAACAGCGGCATGAAGCGGCCTGTTGTTGCGTCCCCTGATGAGTCGTCTTCCCTGTAGGGTGCGTTGTGATACTCCGTGTCTTCTCTCGTTTTCTGAATCGACCGGACTAGAGAGAGATTCACTGGATATTTTTTTTTTTTAGCTGCTCCAAAAAAAAACCAAAAACGCTTTGCTTTCATTGACTTTCTGTTTCTCATCTCAGAGGTTTCTTCTCCGAAGGTTTTCGCTTCCTGTCTCCCCCCTACGTTAGGTTTCATTTGCTTTTCTTTTTCTTCTGATTTCCTGAGGTGGACGCTGAGGTCACCGATTTGGGCGTTTTCTTTATTTCTAACGTAAGCAAACTCCAGCGTGTTTTTATGCGGCGCTTTCATCTTTATTCGCGTCCACACGTCTTCAGATTTTTCCTTGTGAGAGGCTCGTGTGTTACTGTGTTTCTCTGCTGCATGAGCGCTGCCCCCCCGTGTAGCCTTTGAGCCACAGTGACTCGGTGCCCCTCACCCTGTTCGGGTCCGACCCGGCAGCCCCGTCCTGTGGGGGAAAGGGACGGCCAACCCTGCAAGAGTTTTCATGTGCTTGCTGCATCTCGGCGGATTAAGCAAACGCTCCAGAGAGTGGCCGCCCTTCTGCAGTTTGTGTTGCGAAGCAGAATGAGGGGAGGAGGGGCTGGGGTTACGGGAGGCCCAACGGTGGCAGATGAGGGGGGGCCGCTGTCACGAGGCCGTCTCAGTGCCCTGCCCGCCACACAGACGTTTGGAGGTTTTCCGGCGATTGTTCTTCTTTCTGATTTCATCATTGAATTCCACCGTGGCCTGCGTTTGCATGATGTGAGCCCTTGTGCGTTTCTTAAGACCAAGTCACGGCCCTGAACGTGGTCTCTCTCGGTGGCTGCCTCCCGGGGCCTCGCGGAGAAGGTGACCTCTGCCGCCCCAGGGCAGAGGGCCCCGTCGGAGGGCGGCCGTCCGCGTGGCCCACGGCCGGTCACACGTCTCGGGAGCTGCTGGGGTCCTGCGGGGGGAGGGGCCGTCTCCCAGACCTGCTCTTCCCACTTTCACTTCCCCAGAAGGCGGCAGGGTGAGGCTGCGGCTCTAGGGTGAACGACGGAGCCGCGTTCCTGCCTCTGGGTCCGAGAGGGACCCGCAGCGGCGCCACAGAGAGACCGCCTTCGCCCCTGACACGGGACGGCAGGTGGCAGGTGCACGGGCGTGTCCCACAGCAGGGGGTGGGGCCGGCACTGCGCCCCTCCCTTTGTGGGCGGGGCTTCAGGAACTCGGTTCCCTGGGGACCGAGGAGGGCAGGGGCTGAGAGCGAGAGGCCTTCCTCGGGGCGGGGGTGGGGGGCCGAGGAAGGCGGTGGGCCACCGTTTCACGGCAGGGGGCAGGCGGGTCCTCTGACGCCCCGCCCCCCACAAAACTGTTGCGGATAGATCGGGGACGGAACCGTCGGAAGTGGGACGCGGCTGAGGGCGACTGGCAGGGCGGCAGGCCGGTGGGAGTGAGGCCCCGGGGCCAGAGGCCAGGGCTCGATCTGGCGCTCCCCGCCGTGACCGTGGGCAGGCCCCGCCCCCGCAGTGGCCCCGCCCTCCGCCGTCACGTGGGCTTGCACCGAGCCGCCTCCTGGAGCGGCGGCGGCGACGTGGCCCCGCCCCCGTGACTCACCGTCGTGGCTGTATTCGTGATTCTGTTCATGAATCACGTTGTGGGGGCATTTCGGGGCGGGTGGCCCTTCCCGAGTGGGACACTCGCGACCGGCAGAGGCCAGAAACCTCGAAGGCTGGGCAGCCCAAGTCAAAAGGCCACGGACAATCCCTGGATGAGTAACAGCCCCAGAAGACGGCCCACTTCCCTAACCTCGAGGAACCACGAGGAGCTCCCGAAGTCGCGCGCACAGAAGGAGAAGCCGACCAGAGCAGCGGACCTGTGGGGGAAGGGTCTCGCAGGGGAGGGGGCGGCCGGGCCCCTGGAGACCCCCGTCACCCGACCTCACACCAGCAAAGTCAGAGCGATGTGTGACCTGAGGGTGGGGACCCCTGGTGCTCACTGGGGCTCGAGCACCCCCCGGGAGCCCCCTCGGTGCAGACAGGGGGCCTGCCGCTGCGATTTTCTCCCGTGCAGGGCGGCCGACGCACAGAGTCACTGAGTTTACAGGCTCGAGGACTTTCGTGGAGTCGGTTGTCCCAGCAGCAGCGAGCCTGAGGGGACCCTCTGTCACTGTCGGGTGCTGGGGACAGTTGCAAGGAGCCGCGGTCAGACTAGCCCGCCGGTGAAAGCGATACGAACTCTGAACAACACATTTTTTAAAAAGATT